CTAATGAAAGTATGTAGACATAAAAAAAAAGCCATGAAAAGATACTCAATATCATCAATCATTAGGGAAATGCAAGCTAAAGCAATAATACACTTCTACACCTACTAGGAAAGGCTGAAATTAGGAAGCCTCACTACACTAACCGCTGAGGAAAAAGTGGAGCAATTGGAACTCTCATACACTACTGGAGAGAATGGAGTATGGTATAATTATTCTGAAACACAGTGTGGCAGCTTCTCGTAAAGTTGAATACATTTATCATACACAGCCCAGTAATTTCACAGCAGGTATTTACTCAAGAAATGAGGATGTAAAACATGTCCTACCCTAGTTATTCTTTCCAAGGTATAAATGAAGGTTCACTATTTATATCTTCCTTGTAAGCCATCACCAGTGTTTAATCTTTATTAAATCTGCTTTAAATACTTAGGAACCTCACCCACCCTCACGGTGAAGTCACTAACACTCAGTAACATTGTAAAAACTACATGCCATCTAGAACAGCTTTGCAAACCTCAAGTTAAGACTCATTAGTGGGTATTCTACTGGATCTACACCAACGTTTTACAGAACATGATACAGGATACAAATAGATTGCACTCCATCCAGTATGGCTAAATTTACATCTGGAGAATCTTTTATTTTAGCTATGTGTATCACAAGTTGTGATGTAAATAAATGTATTTTTACTGTGGGTCATGGTCAAAACATTTTAAAAACCCTAACATACACCATACCTGTAAAATAAATTCTATAGTACCAGAGGCTTCTTCAACTTCTACGCACTTTGAACTTGACTCATCCCATACCACAATGAAGGAAGTCCACAGTAGTGCTATTATACTGTCTACAGTTTCTATGATTTGTTAATATGTCTTTGATGATCCTGCTTGAAACAATAATCAATATACTTTACAGTGTTTGTTATATTTGACAGTCATTTTTCACTACTAGAACCACACATTTTTTCAACTCTCATTAAGATTTCAAGGCTGAAGAAACAATATACAAATATTTCCTTAGATTTTTGCCCAGTGACTAAACAATAAGGCAAAAGTCAAAACTCACTGACTTTTCTCTAATATATTGTAACTTAACAACACAGTATGAAGAACCTGGTAATTTAAAAGGCACACATTCAGGGTACACTAGAGAGTGATCTAAATGTAAACTTGTTCACTTCAATACACACTGACTCTAATGATATTCAAAGGATGATAACTTTCTAAACTTAGAAAATAAATATTTCAACCTCCACTAATATGTCACTGGCCGCTTAATCATAACTTAAGCATTTTATATTAAATATTTTACACTTCATACTAAACAAATTTCTTAGAAAAGTTCCTTAAAATAACTTTGTTAATCACTGTCTTTTAATTTACAAAAGTTAGAAAGTAAATTTAAGTTATAGGGAAATCTGTCCAATAACAAGAAATATGAGCAGAAATAAATGCATACAAGTAAGAATTTCTTTCTAAACAAAGTCTATAAATGTACATAAGTATGGAAATAAAATGTGTGGCTAAGAAGTTATTATAACAACCACTGCATTGAGAAGCACTGCTCTACAGTATGCTGTATCTTTATTTATTGGATTTTTTTTTTTAAACAGGGTCTTGCTATGTAGCTCAGGCTGGCCTGTAACTCCAGATCCTCCTGCCTCAAGTCTCTCTTTTTTTTTTTTTTGTCTTTTTGAAGCAGGGTCTCGCTATGCAGTTCAGGCTGGCCTTGAGCTCACTTTGTAGCTCAGGTTGGTCTCAAACTCGAGACGATCCTCCCGCCTCAGCCACCCAAGTGGTGGGATCACAGGCGTGTGCCACCATACCCAGCCTGCTTCAGTCTCTTGAGTGCTGGAATTAGAGGCGTGTGCCATGATGCCTTGCAGTGCACTGTATCTCAGTAATTCTGGAACATTCAAATCTACAGATGTCCCTGATTATGGACTTTAATGATTACTCTTTAAAATAAAACCCTACATTAAAATTTAGATCAGGTTCATTAATGATTACAATCCCAAATTAAGACTATGGCCCAATACAGTAGTATATGCCTATAATGTCAGCACTTGGGAGGCTGAGTGAGGAGGATCACAAGTCCAATGCCAGCAGGCCAACTCACCAAGACCCTAGTTCAGTACATAAAAAAAAAAAAAAAAAAAAAAGACCATAGCTCAAGAAATAAAAAAGGCTAAAGATGTGGCTCAGTGGTAGAGCACTTGCCTGGCATATGCAAGATCCTGGATTCAATCTCCACTGCTTCAGAAAAATAAAAATATAAAAATGGAGTAGAGACATAGCTGAGTGGTGGAGTGCTTGCCTAGCATGGATGGACTCTTAGGTTCGATTCTAATACCAAAACAACATCTAGAAGAGACACAGAACTACCTGTAGGTACACACATTTATTTGAAAATGTTTAATTCAAGTTAAGGGTCAGTGGACTCTCGCCAGGCATAGTGACACACACCAGATATCCCGGGACTTGGGAGGCAGAGGCAGAAGGATTGCTGAGAAATCGAGGCCAACTACATATTGAAACCTCATCCATAATAAAACTATAAATAAATAAATAAACATGTAAGAGTCAGTAGACTTCCCTACATCCATCACATCAACTCCATTCTCATTAGGAAGCTGAGAGTAGGAAGGGAGTAAGTGTACGATTTATTATATTTTAATTAATGCAATCACCAAAAAAGCTGAACTGAACCAAAAGTACCCATTGTTGTATGTGTTCAGGCTGCCACCTCCAGCTCTGTAATCTCCTCACTGAGGCCTTGTGCCCACAGTGAGGCTTCTGCCACCTGAATACTCTGAGCCCTAATGGACAACACCTCCCTCAGGTCAAACCTTCGACCCACATTCTGCTTCATGTGAGTCGGTGGCATCCTGAAGGTGAGACTGCGATCCTGATATTTTGGTGGTCTTATTAACAACAGGATGTATCTGAGATGAGCAGAAACCTGACTGACCATTTCGGCCAGCTCCCAGGGGGAGGCCGTCTGCAACAGCAAGACCGAGCTGGCTGCAGCCCAGGGCCATGATGAAGTACCCAAGTGGCTGCCGCTGAGCTCCTCAACACCAGCACCCTCAGATGCCTGAAGTTAGGGTCGATGATGCCACTACCCAGGTGCCTGGGGTTGAGTACCATGCAAATCAGATTGCTCGAACTGGTTTGTGAAATTATGAAGCTGTTTCCTATCCAGGAGTAAAAGCCAGGCAGATCAAGGGGGAATCTCTAAAATATCATATTTCTTTCTGGTCTCCTTCTGCCCTAGAAGCTGGGGGGAAGAATGTGTAGATTGTGTGTCTTTTTCACTACTGTCGTGTAAAGTTTTCAAATAAAGATTTACAAAGTTCTAATAAATAAATAAAGCTACACATAAGTATTTGTCCAAACTGTCTAAATAACTGAAATAAAGGACCAAAATACAAATTTACTCACAAAATGTCAGTATTTGTTTTATTAAACTAAAATTAAGTTCTTCCTCAGTAAATAAAATCCAAAACTAAGGGGCTGGGGATTTACCTCAGCGGCACAGCGCCTGCCTGGCAAGTGCAAGGTCGTGAGTTCAATTCCCGGTACCGGAAAAAAAAAAAAAAAAAAAAATCCAAAACTAAATTACGGAAGCATCTTTTTAGGTTAATCATTTTAAAAAGCACTCTGTCAATGCTCATTTTAAGATGATTAATCACTCTAGGCTCCTCCTCCAACCAATGCACAAAAGCAGTAGAAGGATGCTCACGCACCCATGCTAGCAACGGTGAACGTCCATTTAAAGAAAAAGGTTGACTCAACTAGGTACTTCATATTGTTATATATTATGTAATAATTTAAAAGCCACAAAGGAGCTCTTTACTACCATGCAAGGAGTTCCAAATGTGCAGAACAAGCAAGTTTGCAAAACAACGCTTAAGACACCATACATGCAGGTCTATCTCACACACACACACACATTTGGTATGTATATATGTGCTTGTAAGAATTGAAAAAATAAAGCGTGGTGGCACACGCCTGTAATCACAGGTACTCAGGAGACTGAGGCAAAAGGATCCCAAGTTCCAGGCCAAAGGCCAGCTGGGCAACTTAGCAAGATCTTGTTTCAAAATTAGAAAGGGCTGGGGATGTAGTTTAGTGATAGAGCCCTGTGCGGCACACATGAGACCCTCAGTTCAACCCCCAGCACTACTTTAAAAAACTAGAAAAATATTCAGGAAACCGAAAATATTATTACCCCTAAGCAAGAGTGTGCAACTGGAATGGGAAAGAACACTGAGATTTCTGCTTCCCTTCCTGAGTTTTAAAAAGAGAATATATTCATATGTTATTTGAAACTCGCAAAAGAATTTAAAATTCTAACTTTGCTCAAGCCAGAGCCGTTCACTCTAACATTTCATTTTCTTCTATTTTCTATTTATTTTTGTTAGAGTCAAAAACAAATAACAGTAAAAAATAAAATCTTTTACCTTGCAAAGAAATGACTAAATTAAGTACGTCCACTTTAAAGACAATGACTTTTTAGTTGACTCCAGCGCGACCTAGAAGCCTCCCAAAATCATGTTACCCAAAAGGAGAAGAAAGTGGAATACTATTCCCTCTGTGCTGGGTGTTGTTTTCAGGAAGCTTAAGTAAGAAACAGAAGATGCCAAGTGTGTTTTCCAGGGTGGGAGAGGAGCGCGAAACCCTACACCTCGAAGCGGCGGGGGCGGGGAGCGCGATCGTCACTCTGGTCCGGACTCCGCGCCGCGACAGGGGTGGCACCAGGTCCCCCCGAGGTCAGGACGTCGGCGGGGACCCCCAACCCTCGGGGATCAGAGGGGAAGGCGGTCGCCCTAGCCGGTCGGGGAGAGCACAGCGCCCACCTCCGCTCTAACCGGCCAGGTCGATCTCTGGGTCCCACCCCGACCCGGCCCCCCAGGGACCCCAGCCAGAGCCTGGGTCTCCTCCCCTCCCCCACGCGGGCGGCGACCTCCGCCTCCGCCCCGGGCCCCCGCTCACCCAGGTAGCGGCTCCGCAGCCGGGACGGGTCCTCCAGCCCCAGCGACCGTCGCCTTACGTCCCACAACAGGTGTGGGCAGGAGCCGCCCCGAGACATGGCGAGGCAGGGCTGGCGGGGACCACCGCGCGGGGGCGGGGAGGACGGGGCGGGGACGCGGCCGGATCAACCCCCGCGCTTCTCCCGCACCATCCGCGCGCCGGGCCTCGCGGGCACCAGCTTAGACGACGACGGCGGCGGCGGCAGCGGCGGCTCCTTGCCCGGCGGAGCCGGGGTATGCCGGGGCCAAAGCTCGCCTCATACTCTCCACCTCTGACGACCCAGAACCTCCAGAGATGGCAACAGCCCCGCCCGCGCCCCTCCCACAGAGGGCGGGGCCGCAGATGCCCCGCCCTCTCCTCGTCCTGGACACGCCCCTCCGGGCATTTCTCGCGATATGACGGCCATCACCCAGCCACCCATCCAACCCTGGGCCCTGGGGACAGAGATCGGACAGAGGGTGTGCTCACGGCTGCCGTCACCCTAGAAGACTGGACTCAGGTCGCTCGAGTCTAATTCTCTATGGGCAAAAGAGGAGCAGAGAAAGACGAAGCTGAGGTCTGTAGTATCTCACTCACGAGTCTAAGGAAGCTAGAGAGTTGTGCGATGTCATCTTTAGTAGTGGAACGGAAGACCTAAAAAGCCCATTTTAACTACGGGCCTTTTTCGTCCAAGGGAAGGAGCCAAGAGCAGGTGTGGCTTCACTTTCCCTTCTCTAACATGGCCTCCAGGGCAAGGAGGAGAAAAGTGAAGATTCCGCCCCACCCCCCTGCAACGCAGGCCAATCGGGCGCGCGGCTCCCCCCTGCGCGTGCGCGCTACCCTAGGGCTGGATCTGCACCTGTTGCCATGACTCCTCCTTCGTCCCCGCCCGCCGGCAGGAGGCGGGCCGCGGCTGGCTGTCTCTAAGCCTCCGCCCCGTCAGCCAGGGCCGGCGCGCGCCCGGGGTGGAGCGCTGGGACCTGGCAGAGCCAAGGGAAGGGCGCCCCAGGGGAGAGGCGGGCGCGAGGCGCGGCGCCGGGCACAGTGACGGAGAGCTGCCCTTCGCTGCCAGCCGGGGACGAGGACACCGCGAAGCCGTCACCCCGCCGCCCACCACCAGCAGGAGGCCGAGATGTCAGCCGCCGGTGCCCGGGGCCTGCGGGCCTTGCACCACCGGCTCCTCGACAGAGTGGAGCTGATGCTGCCGGAGAAACTGAGGCCGCTGTACAACCACCCGGCAGGTAGGTGACGACTCGGAGTAGCTCCCGCCAGCCTCCCTCTGGTCGCTGTCCCTAGCGCGACCTTATAGCCGCTGACACGGTTCTGCTGCTGGCGGCGTCGCCGGCATCCTCCCCTTGCGCTGCTGGATCGGCCCCTCTCCCGGTGCCCGGTGCCCGGCGCTTACCCTCTGCATTTCACCTCCCTGCCTGCATCTCCAAACCCGTGAGTCCGGAGGAGGACTCCGTGGGACTCGTGAGTCCCAGCATTTTTGTTGCGTTCACTTCTCCGAGCACGACTCGAACTCCGGACTTGGCCTCCAGATTTGACGCTTTCTCACGTCCTCGGCTGCGAAACCCTCCTCCCCCCTTCTTTCCCTCCACTAATCATCACCCACGCGGGAAGGAGCTAGGTAGGTGGCTAGTCGCAACGCAGGGTTTGGAGGAAAGGTCACACTTCGTTCTGCTCCGACAGGCGGAGGCCTGCACCGCGAGCCCGGCCCCAAACTGGACGCAGGATCCGGGTTACCGAGCCCGCGTCCTTTCCATCCTGTACCTCCAGTTTGTTTGTTTAACTCTGTCTTATGAAATTACTAAACAAGCTGTACCTCGACCTTTTTTATGCGGACAGATCTGAATAGAATTCTGCTCTGCCCTATGCTTCACTGTAGGTATGACCTTGGGCAGAATCCTAGATCGGTGTTTTGTTTTCTGTAAAATGCGGGTCGCTGCGAAGATTTAAAATAGCATGTGTGCTCTATTCTTAAACGCTCGGTAAGTGTCAGCTCTCTCTTGTCCTACTGGAAGGCAGTGTTCTTGTGGTTGAAAAAGGTGATTCTGTAAGAAACTGAAAGGTTCCACCCTCCACGTCTTTATTAAAGACCTGCTATTCTGTTATTTCCTCTATAAAATAGGAAGTAATAATGCTTATTTGGCTGGGAACTAAAATCTGATGTATTCTGAGATCCTTTTCAAGGATACAATTTAGCAAATAGGAAAATATTTTAGAAATTGAAAGATTGAAGTGCTTCTGAAGAAAGGGGCATTTTCTGCCTGCACAGTTAAACCTAGATTCTGCAGTTGATGTCATTAAGAAAGTTGGCTAGTTCTGACCATATCGGACTATGAGACAACTCTCGGGAGCCTGAACTGGTTACTAAATCTGATTTCCACATTGATAATGGAATGAAGTATGCCTCGAAACTACACATTAATTTAACTCTTAACATTCTTTACTGTCATACTGAATCCACTCTAAAACAGTTTAAAGGAGAGGCTGTTCTTGGTGAAGAAGTCAATTTAATTTGCCTCTTAGGTCTTTCCGCACGCAGTTTTTTGGAACTGTGCTGTGTTTTCTTCTAGAGTCTCAGGATAGAAGGTTGAGCAGTGGTCTGTCATCCGGGCGTTGCAGATGAATTCAACTGAATTCTGTGGGGTCAACTCTGACCCTCTTAAGGTTATTGTTTGAAGGTTAGGGAAAGGCAGGTAGAGGAAGAACAATTTTAAAATAAAGCAGAGTTGTTAAGTAGTCTTATGTTGGACTTTTCCCAGGTCTTGGCTTTTAGCCACCTATGTTTATTGCTTATAATACTTTACTCACACTCAGAATAAAGAGTAGACTGTGTATTTCCATCCAGACATCCTTGGATTAGTTCAATTCTTTTAATCCCTTTTCAAGGTAGCAGAAGGAACACGGTCTTGCAAGCCAAACAAACAGGTCGAGTCTTGATTGTATAATCTTGATCTTAAATTCCCCAAACCTCAGTTTTCTAATCTATAAAATGGGAATCATAACCATCACCATTTAAGGATTGCTGTGCAAATTAAATGATGCAATGTCTGTAAAATATGTTCCACAGTATTTGCTTTTAAATGCTCAATAAATGTTAGTTCTCTCCCTTGTTAGCCAGTATAAGACAGTATGCAGAGTAAGATACCTGTCCCTGAAAATTTAGCATTGAAGGATGGAGAAATGGAGAAGCAGGAAAAATACAGCTAACTCATTAGTACTGAATAAAACCCAAGCAATGCTGGTTATTGTTCTAAGAGTTACTCCAAATGAATATTCAAGAGGGTTTTTGTCATGAACAAGTATGCCTAGACATGCAACATGAAGGTTCTTATGTAAGTCTATATTGCAACTGGAATATTTTGTGGCCCAAAATTTCAAGACCTTCACCCTCTATTTACTTGTGTGTTCTTCAGTAATCGGGTTGCTCTGCTCACATATGGGCATGTCACCCCCCAATACCAGCACACTGCCATCTCCAATAAAATACCTATATACCTATACTCCAGGTACTGTATTTGTCAGAGAAATAACCTTGAAGTCATGTAGTGCAATGTTTACTTAAAAGCTTATTTGGTTCTGTGGTTTGTACTGTATATATATGGTTTTAGTGTCTGAGTAGGCTTCATGTGTGGAAAGTTAATCCTTACTATAACGCAGTGGTGGCAAACATATGGCATGCATGCCACAGCAGGCTGTTTGTATCATTGAAAACGCTAAAAGGTTCACCATCGAGGCTCTAAAGTATTAAGGAGCTGGGTGTGGTGGTGCACCCCTGTGATCCCAGCACTTGGGAGGCTGAGAAAGGCAGGAAAATTGCTGGGAGTTGGAGGCCAGCCTGGGCTATATAGTGAGACCCTGTTTCAAAAAAAAAAAAAAAAAAAAAAAAAAACAGAAAGAGAAAGAGAATTACACAGGACTATAAGGTTTTAAGAGAGTGGAACTTTAATCAGACTATGGTGCTTAGAGTTGAGATCTTAGTGAAAAGATTAGGATTAGATAAAATCTTAGGGTAGAGCCCCCATAATTGGATCTTGGCGTCTTTATAAGAAGAGGGAGAGAGACTAAACACACACACGCACGCACGCACGCACACACTGCCTGTCTCCTGCTGTGTGCTGTATTAGAACTAGCTTTGGCACAAATAAAAATGAATGAATGATTAATGCCCCACAGAGTTGACCCCACAGAATTCAGCTGAATTCATCTGCAACTACTAACATTTATTGAGCGTTTAAAAGCAAATACTGTGGAACATATTTTACAGACATTACATCATTTAATTTGCACAGCAATCCTTAAATGGTGATGGTTATGATTCCCATTTTATAGATTAGAAAACTGAGGTTTGGGGAATTTAAGATCAAGATTACACAATCAAGACTCGACCTGTTTGTTTGGCTTGCAAGACCGTGTTCCTTCTGCTACCTTGAAAAGGGATTAAAAGAATTGAACTAATCCAAGGACGTCTGGATGGAAATACACAGTCTACTCTTTATTCTGAGTGTGAGTAAAGTATTATAAGCAATAAACATAGGTGGCTAAAAGCCAAGACCTGGGAAAAGTCCAACATAAGACTACTTAACAACTCTGCTTTATTTTAAAATTGTTCTTCCTCTACCTGCCTTTCCCTAACCTTCAAACAATAACCTTAAGAGGGTCAGAGTTGACCCCACAGAATTCAGTTGAATTCATCTGCAACGCCCGGATGACAGACCACTGCTCAACCTTCTATCCTGAGACTCTAGAAGAAAACACAGCACAGTTCCAAAAAACTGCGTGCAAAAAAACCTAAGAGGCAAATTAAATTGACTTCTTCACCAAGAACAGCCTCTCCTTTAAACTGTTTTAGAGTGGATTCAGTATGACAGTAAAGAATGTTAAGAGTTAAATTAATGTGTAGTTTAGAGGCATACTTCATTCCATTATCAATGTGGAAATCAGATTTAGTAACCAGTTCAGGCTCCCGAGAGTTGTCTCATAGTCCGATATGGTCAGAACTAGCCAACTTTCTTAATGACATCAACTGCAGAATCTAGGTTTAACTGTGCAGGCAGAAAATGCCCCTTTCTTCAGAAGCACTTCAATCTTTCAATTTCTAAAATAGATACTGGGTATCTATTTTATAGATACCCAGTTCTGATGGGTGTCAATGTCTGTGCCAAAGACCAATCTTTAAGAATGCAGGGATATGTGTGTGTAGTTGGTCACATGATAATGAACGAGGGGAGTTGAAAAGTAAAGGGAGAGACACATGGGCAAAGGTTGATTGGGGTACTAAGTCTACTAAGTTAGATAGGAGTGAGGGGCTTCTGTGTGTGATTGCACATGAAAGTGACTA